ACGCACTTATATGCAGGTATTCTGAGATTTGTTCAAAATTATCTTAATTGTCTTTCAAATTTGCGTGAGACTCCCGCCAAATGTGGGAGACTTGGCAGGTCTGAATTAGTTAATTAAATGCTAGTATGTTCAAATTTGATCAAAGAACATAAATGAACTGCTGTCTTTACTCATGCATAAGAGCTATCATTGCTCGTTTAACACAAAGCAAATGTCTTCAAAGTATGTTTGATCAAACAAATTTTGATCGAACTAGGCTTAAAAACCAGTCTCCTGCAACAAGGAAGTGTTGAAAGTGCTTACATAGGAATATTTTACCTGCTGATAGTTTCAGCAAATATAAAACTAACGTTATTCCGAAAAAAGTGTGCATTTGATTCGAAATATCATCGAAATTGATTCAAATATACTGTTTTTATAATGCGATGTTATATAATATTGTACACTTTTTTCGAAATAACATTACTTTTATGTTTCGAATGTCCTTTTCATTTATTTTTTTGTTCTTTAAAAAGATATCTGGCATAAAGCACTAGTAAAGTAACATCCAGTAAAACTGTATAACTATAATGAAGAATTAGTACCTACTCCTGTCACTAAGCGCCCCCTTATCGGCATGGGGATTGATGGGTGCACGTGTTGCACAGCTGAGCAAGAGCGCTCTGAATGTAATTTTAGTCTGAAAGTGGACTCTCTTTGAAACTCATTCTGCGCTGAACAAAGGTTCTAGATCTTGCATTATTAAATTTGATGGTCACCAATTCCTTAGGTTGCGCGCGCGGCAGATGTCCTATATCATAATCGCCCTTAGTTTATTCACAACACCTTGTCAAAGAAATATTCACTGATAATTTAAATCAGCTTTCAAATTACACCTAGCAAATGAATACACTAACAGGTTTTCACAATTTATAAAGTGATGCTGAACAGTACGTTATGTGAATAGTATTTGCTTACTGTCTTTGCATCATATTTGAAATAATTGAAATAATTTCCTCGGCATACTTTTTGAAAACCTTTTATATGATAAAACAAGATTCATGCAGCCTTTTGATAGTAGATTGTAAAATTTAATGTAAAGATTCAGAAAGTAACTGTTGAATTAACTAGTCAGTAATTTAAGAGAGTGCATGGTCTTTTTCTTCTCTTATATTTACAAAGTATAAATATTATAATATCATGTCTTCTCTTTGAGAAATTGAATGCTTTAAAATTGAATACCGACGTTTATGCTAATTTAGGAAGCAAGTCTGACTAGCTTCGTTTTGGTGCTTTTCGCACATTTCAAAGGGTGGTTTGTATTGTTGTTTTCAACCCTAAGCTTTTGCACTTTGCCGAATGTAACAGTCTATATGTTGAAAAATCGTTTATTAGCCTGATAATGCTTGAAATTGCTGTTTCAGAAACGAACCTTAAACATACACTTTTGTACATAAATGTAATGTAAACCATAATTTTATATCCTTTGTATCCTTCCACTAATGTAAATTTTATATCCTTTCTATTTCAGTTGTTATAGTTGTAAGATGGTTTTTCATTAAACAATCTATCTATCTAAAGTAATAAAAAATTGTGGTAACTAGTGTTCGAATCGGTTAATACTGCCAGTAACTCTGAGAGAATAATATATTATCAACTAACAACAATATTGATTTTCACCGTTGCAAAATTGGTCAGAATGTCAATGCCTACTTTTTTGATTGGATGAGGTCATCATCAATGAATCAAAGCTCATCATTCAAGATATATTATGGGGCGAGTAAATTGGTTCGTCAAGCGCTTCCGATATATACTGTAAAATTAATTTCTAGAAACTTCCTTAATTCCGCGGCCAGAAACCTAGCAAACGACGTCTATCGTATTGCTAGGCACATAGACAATTGGTTTCAGAATTGGCTGAGGCCCCAGTCTGTAGGCTTTGTAGGTGTAAAACAGATTTGACGGCTGGTTGACAATTCGCTGGAATTGGTTTCATTTTTGATAGGGTCTATCCAGTCTGTAATGAGATCAGTTACTGCTGCCGACTGACCATTCTTGACGTGCTAAAACGTGCTATGGTTTCTCCAGAGTTCACTCGACCCAATCTTTCGCGCGATCTATGTATTGTCGAGATCGAGATTTGTGTCATTCTGGATGTCGTAATCCGGGGAGAATAATTAAGCTTCAGGAAGTTTTTTTAAACGAGGGGGGAGGTCAAACTTTATTTTATATTGCACTCGCATGATCTCAGTTACGAGCTTATTTACATGCGGTATGGTCGATTTTCACAATGCAAACGATCAACAATATTTTAAATAAATCAGTTAAGGATGGCTTTATTTCTTTCTGGTGATATACATGAGGCATTTATACTTAGATCTGCTGTTTTATAGTGTTCGTATGGAGAATGTACTTTTAGTTTGTTTGTGTGGCGATGTACCAAGGTGACGAGTTTATAGTGTTCATTCTACTGAGATGTTTATAGCAATGACAATGCGCTTTCAACAGGTTTTAAAAATAAACGTGAAATGTAATTATGTCTGCACGTCTTTAATTAAATACTCAAGCTTAATAAATTCCGATTTATCTGGCTTAAACCCTCCCCCCGGCGTTCTCGGTGTTTAGCCTATACATAATGCTCACAATTTCTTTCTTATTATATAGTTTTGCAGTTCTGACTGAGTACAATCTTAATCATTACAATGAATGTTGTCATGTGAAGGCGAAGCTGATGTATTAATTAAACAAAAATGTCAATAAATCGATTTTGTCTCCCAATCCGCAGAATGCGCAGATTGTTCGGTTGTTCTGCGATAGGGGTATAGCCTTGAAGGTGCCAATTAAAACGATAATTGGGACACAAACTGACTTAGTATTTCTATATATGATAGTACATAATGATATACTGTACAGTATATTCAGTGGTAAGCTAGCCATGAGAACGCCAACTGGTCATGCTATGCTAATAAACCTGCACTCATTTGAATAATGCAAATCATTAAAAACTTGCATGCATGACCTGTTGCTATGGCTAGCTTCGCCATACAAATTTTTATACATACAAAAGCAAGAAATTATAAGCATTGAAGGTATTTATATAAAATTGCCCATGCCAGAAAAGTAGAATTAGAATATTTAGCTGACCTTCGACTTTGTGCAAGGTGTTTGATATTCAAATTGCACTTTTCCTACCTCCTAAACAGGCGTCTGAGAGGCTGTTTACATGTTGGAAGGTGGGATGATTTTGATGTATTGCGTGATAAATCACAAGGCTAAATGAAAGTTCAAATGCTGATTAACAGAACTCAAATGTTGTGGAGAAGATCTTGGAAGATTATTTCTGCTTGAATAACCTTTCGTTTACAGTTAACTATAATCTATCTCTAGAAAATAATTTAGTTTTTTTGCTGAATTGTGCATCGGGACTTATATCAATGCATCAGAATAATCGCGCCTACATCTCGTCCTGGCAAAGGGGGATCATATAAACAGCCCCTTATTCAGCAAATTGTGCATGCTGCCTTTAATCCCTTGGGGGTTTGGCAGCACCTTTCCTTGCGACAGTAACTTCTAATATTTTAGTTATATTTTCAATTAAATTGCAATTTCGTAGCCAGAGCTGAGCCATCCAGTTGAGCTCTTGATTGAATTGGGTCTCTCCAGTCTATTACGAGATCAGTTCAGTGCTTGATCTCATAAGTGCAACAGACTTAGGGGAGTTTATATGGAGGCCGGTTGGCCCGTTTAAGCGAGACAGCCCAGTGTAAAGTGGGACAGTAAATTTCTTTTGTGTTTATATGAGAAAATTTCATCCCACTTGCAGGGATAATGGACAGGGACAATTGACAGTTGTTAAAAATAGCTTGCAGCTGCATCTTCGAACGCTCATCCCAGCATATTAAATTTTTATCCCGGTAAGCGAGATCTCGCCTCTTTGAAGCGAGATCTCGGCAACTGGGCTAGCCCGTTTGTCCATATAATTATATAAATGCACGGTAATTTTTACTATAAAAATAACTACACACCCTGCTGTCTCGCTAAGCTGACCACTAATTATAGCGGACCAGCGGCAGCCAGGCTTCCATTAGCCTGCATAGCAGGCGTTTAATGCGGGCGGGAGAAGACGTCGTCGTTTACGACGCCCTCTCTTCTCCCGCCCGCACTAAACACCTGCTACGCAGGCTAGGCTTCCATATAAACAGCAGATAAACCTAAAAAATGAATTACGCCAATTTGAACGAGCGTTGGAGCAAGTCTACAGTAGACTTCCTCCAACGCTCGTTCAAATTGGCGCAATTCATTTTTTAGGTTTATTTCAGTTCTCTAGTAATTGAATTTCCGAAAGATGTTTCACGGCAGCAGCAAGTTACAGTCGAGCAAACGTAGTTATAAACAAGCAATCATCCAAAACGATTGACATTAATTTTTAACTTACCGCCTTACGACTTGTCTGCGCTAAAAGTGACTTTAGAGTAGCGATGATATAAGCATAAAAACTATTCAAAGCTGCCGCCTGCCGGTAACTGATTTTTCCGAACTTACTCTCTTTGCCAAAGCTCTGATTCGTATTAAACAACCATTTGACAAGCTAGTGAATTTCAATAGCTTTGCCTTTACTGTTAAGTCCGCTGAATTACCTATGTATTTAGCTCAGTATTTAATTCCATGATCATGGACATGTTTAGACTAGCATGCAGACTATGCAGTTACTTTATTTGATAGGCTTTTGTCCATTCACTAAAACCAGTGGTCTTATGTCTATGACATGTTGAAATTTGTGATGATATTATGCTGTCTGCTGATGCTTCGTTCGTTAGTTTCAAGATACAATGTTTAGCTAACCGAAGAACAATATGTTTGAGGTTCAAACTTCTCCGGATCCAGTGACAGTGTCCATACAACATTGATACATACATACATACATACATATACACACATACATAACATCATGCATCTTATCGTTGCTACATGCACATGAAACATTGAAACAAAATCAGTAGCTAGGCAATTTGAATACTTACATCGAGACAATGAAGTAATGGATGGTCACAATGATCTGTCAAAGGATAAAACGGAAACTCTTTTGAAAGTTTATTTTCTTTACAGTGATGACATTTCATGACGACGACTTGACGTCTTGCTATTAAAGAGCTTGTTCAGAGAATATGCAATTCAGATACAGCAAGATAATTCAAGCAAATTTTGCCACAATTGCATCTTTAAACTTGCCCCAACACAGCTTATATTAATAAACGTCAACACTTAACTAAAATAATCGTATGTTCCAGGAAGACAGGTGGTTTCCAAGTATTTCAACGGAAGTGGCACCCCACAGAACAAACAGTCAGTACGGTTTCACTTTTGTGTGTTGAGAAAAAACTCAAAGTGAATCCGGCGATGACCGTCATGTTCTATTAATTGAAGATTTGCATTGTCGTTATTGAGAATCTGAACAACAATTTTTAAGTAATATATTATAGGCAGCCGATATATATTGCAAAATGTAACTTGATAACGAGACTCAAAGTTATTCTATTCTGTGAAGCGTGGGTGTTTTCCTGGAACGTTCTATGTCGCCAGGGAGACCCATGCAGGTATATATAGAAGTGAAACTAATTTAATACGACTTTAGGCTTTGTGTGACAAGGAGCTGCATATAATAAGCGTTTAAGAAAGTTAAAAAGACGTCAAGGCAAAATGTGATTCAGCTTGCATGAGTGGGGTATATTTAGCATTGAAAGACACATTGGTGGGTCACATTGGCTGTTGTCATTGGGCAGAATCAACAATATACAGCGTTCCAGTCAAGGTACGATTGATCGATAAATGAATATACGATGCAAGTTATCATATAAAAGCAATAGATAGTGAAACACTGTTCGCAGTTTGGGTATAATATGTGTAGGCATAACATTCATATCTAGGCGCAATTAATCATATACGCGATTCTGAAGAGGCAAGAAGATGCGTTTGCATGAGGGTATAATCAAGCAGCGCGAGTGACGAAGGAGTATAAGCCGGAAGTATTTGTGAAAGCTACAAACATTTGATTTTGTAGAAGTTATTAGTTTCATCGTTGAAATACTCGTCCTGGATCACCTGCAATGCCTTTGCGATGCCGATAGACGTTGACATTGTATAGGTGCTTCGACCCTATACGCTTTCTTTGCTTGTTATTTTATATCGACCCGAATGTGACAATTGACGTTTCTGTCTGACTTTGTTTTATTCTAACAAAATATGAAAATACATAAAATACACTAAATATATACGTAAAATTACAAACAATTTACAGTTCTTACATAACAAATGCTCACATAAAGGACAGAAATACATAATTCTATCTCATACCTAGCGTATTAGCTAGCTTTTTCGGAAAAATTATTATATGTCCTGAAAAATTTTTGTACATCTGGAAACATTTTGGTAACCACCCCCTCCCCC